GGTTGGGAGCTTATATCTTAAAGGGCTGTTGATTTTCCTTGGCTGACCCTGTTCGTGAGCCTCCATGTTGTGATTTCCTGTTGCTTGCTCCTACTCGTGAGCATCCCTATTGTGGTTCTTTTTGTGTCATTAGTTGGCGGCTTTCCTTCTTTGGCTACCCTTACCCGTGAACTGGTAAATGTTGTTTTGGGATGGTGGTTTGTCTGGCTGCTTCCACCCAAGAGCACCTAATTGGGATTCCCCTTATACTGGGCTCGGTTTGGCTTAAAATTAGGCTCAGTTTGGTGGAAATCATGTTATGTTCTTGGTTCTCTTTTGTTGGGTTTAATTGAGCTGAAATTGTGTCTTGTTTTGTCCCTATGTTGGGCTCGGTTTGCCCCCTGTGCTAGGTTTGGTTTGCCTGTCATTGGTTTTCCATCTTGTCCCTTTGCTGGACTCGGTTTACCTTCTTACGACTCTCTCTTTTATCCTTCTTGTGGGGCTCGAATTGCCTGAGCTATTAAGTTGTTGTTCTTCTTGTGGGGCTCGGTTTTAACTGGAGATTCTCCAGATAGCGTACCTCCTGGGATTGTTATTAATAATCAAGTTTGTCATCCCAAAAATTATGATTTCAATATGTGCTTCTACGTGGGAATGTTTGACATAAGCATACCAACTCACTATCATGTCTTAATTGATGAAAACGGTTTCAATTCGAATGGTTTATAAGAGCTTGTTCATTCACTTTCTTATGTATATCAAAAGAGTATAATGGCAATATATGTGGTGGCTTCTCATTTACTACTCCTACCCGAGAATACCAGCTGATTGGTTGTGTGAGCTGCTGCCCTTACCTGAGAGCATTCACGTGGTTCTCTTTTATTTTGTTTGATTGTTCTTGACTTTGTTCTTTGTTGTGAAGTTGGTTTACTGGTTTTGGTCTCTTGCACTTACAAGTGAACATCCCAATTAGGTTCCTTTATTCTGTTTGGCTGTTCTCTGTTGCCCAACATCCTAATTGGTTTCCTTTTGTCATGTTTGGTTGTTCTCTGTTGCCCCTGGCCGTGAGTCTTACTGTTGTGGTTCCCTGGTTTGTGCCTTGGTTAGTTTGGGCCTAGCTGTCTCCTTGCTGCCCCCACTCGTGATATTTTTTTTGTCTTATTTCCTGTCCTAAATCATGGGCTTATATTGGAGCTTGGTTGTGCATTTTCTGGCTACTACCTCTGGGCTTGTTATGAGGTTCGGCTCCCTTTTCCTGGCCTTACCCGTGAGCCTGTTGAGAATTATTTAGGCTCATTTTGCCCTGGCCGTGAGCACTTCTATATTTTCTATATTAGTGTTACATTTATACAATTATGAAAAGCTTTTAACTTTATACAATTATGAAAAACTTTTAACAAGGGGGTGGAATTGAATGGATTTGATATTGGCATGTCTTTTTATTTTGGATTTAGAAAGTTGCTCTCTATAGATTATTCTCATTTACTTTATGAGATATGAAATACTCTTATAGCTTCGTTTCGGGAAATCATAAAGATGATATAAATTGAATTCGTGAAAGGATTATAAAACTCATAAAATTGTTAGTTGGAAAAGCATTTGGAGGTACGACATTTAAAACTTGGATAACATAAATGTCACACATGGGTTCAGGCTTGGGTGTGTGAGTACATATAGGTGGTGGAGTTGTGGGTACAATCGTCTCATTAGTTTTGGGCCCATTAGTCTCATTAGTTTTGGGCCCGTTTCGACCTGTTCGAAACAAAATTTGGAGGGGATACTATTCTTGGGTTGATCCAATTATAAAATTTGAGAAAATGATATCCTTCTTAGGTTTATTAAAGAATCTTGGGCCTTCCTTTTTTAGATCTTATTTTTGTTACAAGTTTTGAGGGTAGATTCACTCTTCGTCTTTTTCAATCTTTTGGGTGGATCAATTCCTACTCTCTCTCATCCTCATTTTTATTCTTTTCTTCCTTACTTTTTGATTCGGTTTTCGGTGCCTATGTCCGACACATAAGTGTTCATATATTGCTTTTTGCTATATATGAAACCATCAAGCAAGGTCGTAAGTAGGTCGTTTTTTTTTCGCTTAGGGCAATGATGACAAAGGCACGCCGGTAGTACAGCAGAATGATATACTATCCTACGACATCAGAACCCAATCTTGGGATCCGATAAACTGTATGATGATAGTATCATTCACCGACACAAGTCTAGCGGGGGACCCGTACCTTATTAGGTTGTTAGCATTCTTACGCCCGACGACGTAATCGACTAATGAACAATCGTAATTTTTCAAAAAAAAACTGATAAGGACAAAACATGATAAGAACATATAAAATATTTATAAGAAGATATTTTACTAAAAAATTGATACAACTTTCTTTTGTATGTCTGGAATCCACGTGCATGCTAAAATAAATATTTTTTTTAAATATAATACAACTTGATTTTCCTTTTGTTGATTATCAATACTGGGCTAAGGAGTACCATCTTAAGTTAGGTTTAGTAGGGCACCCTTCTAGTTGAGTGGCGGGTTCTATACATCCGAGTGATCGATAGTAGCTTTCGACGTCCCTCGAGTACAAATATATTATAATTAAGCCTAGCCCCGACCCGAGTGCTTGCAATCCCCTCTTTTCAGATTTTTCTTATGTTTTATTGAAATTTTTGGGCAAAGCACTCGCTGTCTTTTTTCCGGGATCTTCCCGTGATTTTGATAGTTTTCTTGAAATTGTCGTTTGTCTATTTTCCCGAGTTTTCTGTCATGGGTCATTTGTCGATTTTCTCGAGTTTTCCATAAAATATTTCTTTTATTTATACAGTAAATACTAGCTCGCTTAAAGGAGCAGCAGGCCTCTCAGATATATAGGTTTGATTTACATTACAGCATTTTACTTCACATCATACTATACTATTCTTCTTCTTTATTTTACATTCTCTTGTTCTTTTCTTTTATATTACATGTTTTATTGTTCTATTACACACTATACCTTAGAATAGAAGACCAGTAGTTGATTTTATAGGATGTACACAGTAGCAGATTGTTGACTAAATAATTACATATACCTTTAAAATTAATATCGGACTCGAAGGTGCTACGACAGGGAGCTCGGAGCGAACACCGTGGACAGCATGACAAGGAACAACTTCTAGACGAATCTGCAACATCAAAATAAATTCACATCACTAATCCCTTTCCATAGCTTAAATAACAACCCATAGGATTTCGAGGTGGTTTGCCTAACGCAGCGTAAACCCTCACATATCACGTTTAGGCTTTTGCATAATCCTGTTGTGCAATTATAAGTCCCAACACTTTAGAATTCTGAGGTCATTATACGATACAGTGTAAATCCTCCTATCTTTTTAGACTATTTGCACGATCAGATATCGTGCGAACACAAGTCCTAAATTCTAAATAATTTGCAGGATTAAACACTAAATAACATCACTTCAAAGACATAAAGCAAAACAATATGATAGTTGGAAAATCACCAGAGTTTCCCCTGGATCTGTGATATCTCCTATATTTCATTCCTTTAAATTCCTTAAAATAATTGTTCCTATTTGAGCCACTCCCGTTTGATTTTCCCATGTTCAATCTTGGAAACCTAAACTTTGAAATCTGGAAAGTAAAACCACTGATCTTAATCGAGAGTCTTCTTAAGTGACCCCAATCATTTAAGATGTAATTAATTATAGAGGTTTTCCTCTATAGGGAACTTGAAACCCAGATAAAATAAACTCTATCTAATCCTCAAATTAGGTAAGGGAACTTGTTGGTCTCAAATAAAATATTTCGCAGACCAAATGGATATCACAAATTCTTTAGTTTATATAATTAAGTCTATTACAAGTGATATGTTTATTCTTCGGGATAAGAGTGTTACTTGTGGTATTACGCTCAGTCATCCAAACTATCCAAAATGTGAGAGTCGTTTGGTCTCATCTATTTTTAAAATTAAATACTACTTTCAAAAGTCATTTTTACATAATCAAAATCATTTTCATATTTTATAAAAATCAGCATTTTTCACCTTTTCAAAATTAAAATAACAGCCGACAGACGGATTATTAGAAAAAAAGATAGATAAAAGTACGAAAAAGTTAGGGATGAAAGATATCAACCAATTCTCTCCATAGTAGAAACATTAGGTTGTACTCGAACATCATTTCTTAGAGTAGAAAATTTTATAACAGTTGATGAAAATTTGTTTTGTATAAAGTGCTAAATATTCATAAACACCTCTTCCTTGTGCTCTTTAACCCCTTCTTAAAATTTCAATAGCCATGGAAGCACCATCTTCTAGCTCGTTGCACTGCCCACAAGATTTTGCCCATCAAATTTAACCAAATGCTCCTACAAACACTACAATGTTGTCAACCGCCTAAGTCAAGTTTGTGCCACATAAAGGCTAAACGGAAGAGAAAATTTGAACTTTCACCATTGCACTATTATATCAAACAGCTTGACTAGCATCTTCATCTCCATTTAATGTGATAAGAGCATAGAAAACCTACTAAAATTTAAACTAAGCAAATTCAATGATACAATTGTTTTCTTTTAGAATTCAGATCAACAAAATAAAAATTTCTCCAACTTATGGAACTAGCTCACAAAATACTTTTTTCTGGTCTTATAAAAAAGTTGAAGATATAGGTATTGTGGTTTAATACAGGCAATTTAAGTATATATTTAAATCTATATTAAATATCATAAAATAGTTGGATTATGTGCTTATTAAAAACATATCGTTGTAAATACTAAATTAGGATTGAAAAAATTTTCATGAGTTTTTATAAGATTATAGACACAAAGTTAGAAAGAAAAAAAATCATATGTACTATCTGCTTATTTGAAAAAAAAAAAAGAATGTAAAAATGGAGCACTTCACAACACAAGAAGTGTCACCTTCATTTTCAAGTTCAATGATCTAGAATCACCAAAGAAAAAAATATCAGGTCCAAAAGCAATCAACATCTGTAATAGCATAATTGAACAAAATCATGCATACCGCTCAAAACCAGGAAGACCAGGTCTACGTTGACGGGTCCTTTTGCCTTGCAATTCTATTTGATCCTCATGACTTCTCTTAGCTAAGATATTATTTCTATCTTCACAGCTCGCGTTTGGAATGCTTGCACAGTTGCTATCGATAATCATCTTTGCATGTTCCAGAAGCTGTGATGAGTTTTTAAGGGCCTAACCACACCCAATCCAAGAAAAAGGTAGAATGTCAGTTAAAGCTGCGGAAAAATTAATCCATGAAGCGCTAAAGAAGAAATATCACTATTCTGCTAGCAGGAATGCAAGTATATTGCTACAAAAAGGAACATAATATCATCCTCTTCATAAGCATAGCAGCCTTCAGGCCAAATAATACATTTTGCAAACATTAATATGGAAAACTCGACTCAAAACAAGGACCCTCAATAATCCGGCTGATTCAGCAGCCCGCTTCGGAAACTTGAACTTCCAAAAATCCATGCTAAAACTGTAAGAGAAGATTCATCGGGGAAGAACCTTTACCGTGGAGTTGAAGAGACTATCTAAATAATCCAGATGATCAGACTCGAATGTCTCGGTTCCAGCGGAAAACGAAGAGCCGAAGGTCCGAGGGAGAAGGAAGGTGACTGAGCAATCGGAAAAAGGGGTATCAGTATCCATTAGGGAAAAAGCGGTGGCCATTGTCGCCGGTGATTTGGTATTAGAAACCCTCCTGTCTGGTAACGGATTTAAAGCAGGATATAACCTGGAATTCACCTTACATCCTGTCAGATGGTCAGTTTGGACAAAATAAAGCCTCAGATTTGATAAATCCTGAATTCATGGATTTCGGCCGTAAATCCCCTGAATCGGCGGATTTAGTATATTCGGGACGATGAAGATGTGAAATTACCTTCCTCCAGGGTTTTCGGGTCTCTGTACGCTGCGATCTGGTCGTTGTCTTCCCAGCTAACTCTAATGGCGACTGAATCGCCAGAGCTCGGTCTCCAAGGCGATGGTTTTGGAGAGACCGAGGTGTAGGGAAGGGAAGTGTCTCTGGTCGAAACCGGGTGAGGTGGAGTGAGGTAGGCCAGGGTTTCCAGTGGGAGAGCAATTTACGCAGCGGAAACGGAAAGCGCGCAATCGAGCATTCTCGTCTCTATTTGAATTTTGTTGACTACCACCGCAAAATTATTTGGTCTGGAAAACCAGCGGCTGAAATTATATATTATAAAGCTAAATACAAACAACAACAACAACAAAGCCGCTACATGAATCCTTTTTCTCCGTTGCGTCCTATTTAGTGTTATATTTTCATTTAGTTCTAGTAAATTAAGATCATTTTTAATACAATAAACCCAATTCTTCCTAGGTCTACCTCTGTCTTTCTTAACACAAGTCGAATTTAAAACATCTACTCTCCTAATCGGATCATCTAATGGTCGACATTTAATATGACCAGACCATCTAAGACGACTTTCTCTAATTTTGTCTGTCACAGGAGCTACACCAACCCTATCACGAATATATTCCTTCCGCATTTTGTCTCTAAGTGTAAAGTCACTCATCCACCTAATCATTCTCATCTCGGCAACACTTAACTTATTATTATGCTTCTCTTTTAAAGGCCAACATTCAGTGCCATAGAGCATTGCAGGTCTCACGACCGTCTTATAAAATTTTCCTTTCAGTCTTAGCGGTACTTTTCTATCACACAAAAGGCCCGAAGCATTCCTCCACTTCAACCAACCAACTTGAATTCTACTATTAACATCTCCATCTATATCACCATTGCTTTAGACAACGGACCAAAGATATCTAAATCGTTCACACCTTTTAATAATTTGATCACCCAAAGTCACACTTTTGTCACTAGAGCTATTACTACTAAAATTACATACCATGCATTCAGTTTTAGTTCTACATAAACGAAGGCCTTTAGACTCCAATGTAGAACTCCATAATTCAAGTTTTTCCTGGGCTTTTTCTCTCGTTTTATCCACAAGAAGAATATCATCAGCAAAAAGCATACACCAAGGTACATCCTCCTATAGATGTCCAGCAAGACCAACCATAACTAAAGCAAAAAGATATGGACTTAAAGCCGATCCCTGATGTAATCCAACAGAAATAGGAAAATATTTTGTCAATCCTCCTTCAGTTTGAACACAAGAAACAGCTCTAGTATACATATCTTTAATGACTTGAATATAAGTCATATCAACACATTTCTTCTCGAGAACTCTCCAAAGGATATCTCTTGGAACCTTATCGTAAGCTTTTTCTAAATCAATAAAAATCAAATGTAGATTCTCCTTATTATCTCTGA